CGCGGGGGCCCCCGCCTCCCGGACGATTCTGGCAGCCAGGGCGGGGCCCAGGTGGCGCACGACAGAGTCGGTGAGGGGCGCGCCCATCGACGAAACGACCTGGAAGTGGGGACACATGGTTGACAGTGCAGATTGTTGCAGAAAAGAGATAGTTGCCGCAGATGAGGCGACTGAGGTAGGTGCCAATGTCTGGAACGCAGAGCGAGGTGGCGGTCTGCCAGGCGGTCCCCCAACGAGGGTCGAAGGGCGTCTCATACCGTGCAACTTCTTGGAATCCCTCAACACGCATAAGACAGACGACCCATCAAAGCGCTGGCCACAACGAGATGCGCGCGACAGTCGCGGCTAGGCCACAAGAGTCCTCTGCACTCAACCCTACAGCACAACACGGCCCAGTGCAAAAACAATCGCAGTCATCCCTCATCAGTGCACTTGCCAGTCAGCGCACGGCGCGTTCCAACAGTCCCAACCCGCAGACGCACCTCAGCAGACAATTTGGGGCCCATGTCCCTGACCAGCCGCCCAGTCGTCTCCCCACCCATGCTCTTCACCAGTGCCCCGGTCGCCGCGCCGCCCATGCCCGAGACGACCCTCGCCGTCGCGGGGCCGCGCATCACACCGACAAGAGCGGCGATCTGCGGGGTGCCGGCCGCTGACACGATGTCGGCGGTTGTGGGAGCCAGGATACCCTCCCCCGCGAGGCGGCCTGACAGGGATTGGAATGCGGCGATGTGAGGTCGCTGCGTTGGTGATTGTATGGTGATCAATATTGTCAAGGCCACCGCGAAACTTGGAATAAGGGTGGTTGGCAGCCACGGAGAACAGGAAAAATGAGGGCTCTGGGCCCATCACTGACAGGGCATGAACCCAGCCACGCTCATGGACAAAACCCACCATAACCTCCAAAAAGCTGCACTAAGCACCCACTGAACAGGCTTGGCGACGCATTCCAAGCGCGCACCCGTGAACTCTGGCCCCAGGGCATTCACGATCTCTGCAGTGAGCTCCGGCCCAAACGCCATCACCAGGTCGCCAGTCAGAGGGCCCCCAAACGTGCCGACCAGCTCGCCGGTGCCGGGGATGCGCAGGGAGTGCACAATGGACGCTGTTTGGGGCAGTCCGAGGGAGGGGAAGCAGAGAAGGGGCCAGTCAGAGTGATGACAGGCAGATCTGATTCAGACTTGCATCAGCAAGCGTGAATCTGTGCCCAGGCGCACGGTTAAACGTCAAATTTCTGCAGTATGCGCCGCCTCTTGAAAGCCGTCCCTTCACAACAGAATGGACAGCGTGCGGATGGTGCGCGCACAGTGACTGCTGACACATGGCTGAGAAAAACATGTGATAATTTGCGCGAGTCCAATCTTGCTCCAACCTGCACCACGTCATCCTTCGCAGTAATTCAGGGCCCCACAACGCATACGGGGAGCCGACAGAGCAATTCACACCTATCAGAACAGACAAGAGCACAACAACAGACAAGAGCACGAGGCAGATCGGCAAGGGCGCAGCCACCCACATGTCAGCTTGGGGCCCATGTGCTGTGTGAGGCAAAGGGCAGGTGGCAGGTGGGGCAGGGAGGCGCGCTTTGAGCTAGCGTGCAAGTGCATGGTCCACTGTGCAGCAGAGCATCTGTCAGTCGTGCACCACACAATCCCATGTATGCAGCTGGACGGCTGGCTGAAATGGGAACCGCTGGGCCTGCTTCTCCAACAGTTCTAGTATCTTCTGAGTAATCAATTCGGTGTGTATGCATGACGCCACCCTCGGCTGGCGTCAGCCCTACGCTCACAGGCATGTTTTGGAGTCCAAGATATCAGACTGCCACATGCCCAATAACCCCCCTGGAACCCCTCCACCCAATTTGTTTGCCCAGCCCTCTCCATGCCCGTCCCCGCAGGCGCGAACAGATGTGCACGCGCACAAACACCACCTCCACACCTGCACCAGGTCGGCCGTCAGCTGCGGGCCCATTGACGCGACAATGCGCCGCGTCAGTGGCGACCCCATTGTGGCCACCAGGTGCGCGGTGGCCGGGCCCCCCAGGCTCGCCACGATGTCGGCTGCAGGGGCGGCACACAAAATACAACCATATATTATCGAGGTTGCGAAGTCACCATGAGTGGCAAAGCACGGCTACCCAGGGTGCCCCATGCTTGTGACAGCATAAAGTGGCAATTGCAAGGTTGCTTGCAGGAGACGACGGCAGCTGTCTAGCTCTCAGAGCTGTCATGGCGCGAGATTCTCAACAACTCAGCATAGCTGAGGCTGACGGATGAGAGGGCACAGCCCTTCGTGCGTCCCTCGGCAGACGCACCTGTGAGCGGCGCGCCGAAAGCAGAGACCAGCTGCGCCGTGAAGGGGCCGTCAAACGCCACCACCAGGTCGCCTGGTTGCAAGGGGGGGTACATTGGTAAGTGGTGTATCTATGGATATGCGGAAAACGACTCCGAATCGCCCAATGCTCTCAACAAAGTGGGGATTTTATGTGAGAGGAGAAGGGAGGGTGGCACCTGGGGCAACCAGACACCACTGGCAGGCAACCGGCGGCCTAGAGTTGTGAGCGGCCGCTGTGTCGCAAGCCCAGCACCAGCACCAACCGCTCGCTTCGCGGCGATTCGCCCCGCTCGCGCGCGGCGCGCACCTGTCAGCTTGGGGCCCATGCTCTTAACGATGTCAGCTGTCAGGTCAGGCCCAAAGTCAGCCACCAGGGCGCCTGCCAGCAGGGGGCGGTTGCAAGCCGTACGTAAGCTGTCGCCGTGAAGGCGGCGCCGAAATCAGCCACATACAACCAACCACACCACCGCCCAGAACACGAACTACATCAAGGCAGCCCAAACGGTGCACAACCAAGCCACCTGATGCAGCTCCTGAAAAACATTCCCCGGCGCCACTGTCTGCTTGCAGCTGCAACTAGCTGCACATACGTGCAAGCCGGAGCCCTCACCAGTCAGCTCGGGGCCAAAGTGGGACACCAGGATGCGGGTTGTCTGCACACCGAACGCCTCCACCAGGTCTGCCGTGAAGCTGGGGCCAAACTCCCTGACCAAATCACCTGGCGGGTGCGAGAGGCACGCCGGGCGGCTTGTGAGTAGCGCACAGGGTTGTTCGCAGGCAAGGGGGAGCGGCAATGCTCAAAGTGCAGCTGCCAAGCAGCAGGTCGCTAGTCGTAACTCGTGTCAGCTGCGCAGGAGCAGCCACGACGCCAGGCGGCAAGTGAGCATCTTCAGACCCACAGCTCAGCCCTCGGACGCTCAGGCGGGTGAAGGACGCGCTCAGGTGCGGGTGCCTGCGGGCCCAGAGGGCGCCAGAGCGCTCACCAGTGAACTCTGGCCCCAGGCCCCTCACAATCTCCTCGACAGTGTCTGGGCCAAGGTTCTGGAAAAGGCATGGAGCGGGGTGTAATGGTGAGGCAGACAAGTGGGAGGCAACCCTCAAGGTGGTCTAGTCCAGAATATGCTGCCATGCAGTTCTCATGGGTCAAGCAATTGGTGAACGCGCGACAAACATTACGAAGGAGGAGGAGACTTATACTAAGTTTCACCATCAAGGGTGCACATACATGCGGAAAAGGATGGGAAGCAGTATGGCAGCTGTGCAACTCGCAATTGCATGACCCAGCGATTGCATGATCCACCTTAACAATGTCTGCAGTAAGGGGCGCCTCCAGGCCCTTGACCGTGTCCGCCGTCACCCCGGGCCCCATGTCAGTCACCTGACGACCGGCGGAGTCACCCATTGGTACGTGGTTGGCAGGTGTCAAGAGGGTGGGGCGCATCTGGACTGCTAAAAGTGCATCAAAACTGGCCCACCAGCAACAACATGTCAAATCCGCTAAGCCACAGGTGCCCAGCAAGGATGCACCAAACAGGGCCTATTCTGTACTTGCGCGTTGGCGGCTGTACGGCCAACACTGTTGGCACCCGCAGCCCTGACGAGCATGTCTGGCCCGCCCAAGACCCAGCTGTTCGACCTGGCAGGAGATCACCCCATCCCTGCCTGGCCGGCGGACGCACCAGCTGGGCGGTGCCGTCGCCGCCGAGGCGCCCGGCCAGCCCCGCGGTCTTCTGGGCCGACAGCCCCTGCAAGTGTGGGTGCATGAACGAAATCAGCGATGGTGTTTCCCCGAATTATTGTTGATCGACCTTCAGAAATGTACATGCACAGATCTTTGGAGTGAGGCTTGATCTGACGCGTGGCGGCGTGCAGACTGGGCCCCATTGCCAAGTTGGCAGGAGCGCCGTCCGGCCGGGGCAACGCAGGCACAGGCGCTGGGTGGTGGCATTGCCCCGCCCCCCACAGGTGACTCTCAGCTTCCGCCCGCGGTCACGCACCTCCACAAGAGGGCGCGTCTTGGACGGCCCCAGCTCAGCCGCAGTGTCGGCCGTCGTCTCCATGCCTGCGCCAGCCGGCAGCGGCGAGGGCGGCGAAAGGTGGAGGCAAAACAAGTGCGCGAGCGAGCGAGCGAGCGCGGGGTGCGTGTAGGTGTGCTTGACACATGGGCGGGGATGCTTGATGCTGCACACGAGCCATGCTTGCGGCGACAAGTGGCAACGGAAAGGGGTGTCGCAAGCGCCGCGGAGGACCTGCATGTTGGTGGGGTGCATGCCGCACGTGCACCCGCTCAAGAACGGTGAGCGCCCCTGATCGCGTGAAGCGTCACTCACCCAGGAGGTTGACAATCTTGCTCGTCAGCCTGGGCCCCAGCACGCCCACGAGGCGCCCCACGGTGCCCGGCCGCAGCGTCGACACGACCTGCGGGCCGGGGCGGCGCGGTCAACGGCGGTCAATAATCGAGACCCGCGCCGACCGTGGTGTTTGCCGGCGCACGATTGCCTCGGTAAAAGTCATTTGTCCATAGCCCACAAGAAGCATGCGTGCACATCCATAGAGTTCAAAAGAAGAACGTAGACGAAAAATCAGGTGCACGACCTGGCTCCTGGCCGCCTCAGCTCGCTCACCACATTGGTGGCCCTCGGTATCGTCCCCGTGCGCCGCTCAGGCGGCCTCTGCGGCCACTCTCCAGCCTGATTCCCGGCCCCGGCCCCGCCCTCGGCGCCGCCGTCGTTGGGCGCGAGACGCTGCTGCATCCCGTCCTGCCCCTCTGCCGCCGCCGGCACGCCCGCCGGCCTCCCACGGCCCGCCACGGCGCCCCCCGCCAGGCCGCCGGCGGCAGCTGCTGCAGCCATCCCCGCGGGCCCTGCATGGCCCTCGGTCGGCCTCGCCGCCGGCACGGCCGGCGCCGCCGGCGCCGTCGGCCGCGCTTGCCCCTCCATTGGGGCAGCCAGCCCGCCTGCAGGGCCTGCCCCCGGCCTCGCGTCTGCTGCGGCAAGAGCCGCCGGCGCCGCCAGGCCTTCACGCCCCACAGCCCCTGCCGGCCCGTCAGGCACTGGCATCGGCCCCACCTGCCCCGCCCGCGCCGCCGGCTGTTCCATCAGCCCCGCGAGCCCCCCAGGGCCCGCCACCGGCCTCGCCACCGGCGCAGCAGGCGCCGGCGGCGCAGCCGGCGCCGCCTGCGTGGCCGGCGCGGGCAGCCCCGCGGCCCCCTCTGACGTCCGCACCGCCGGCCGCTCGGCCGGCCTTTCCACATGCCGTTCCACTGGCCTCGCCGCCCGCCTGCCGGCCAGAGCTGCCTGCATAGGTCCCAGTCCCGCCACCGCTTCTGCTGGCTCCGCGGGCGCGGGGGCCGCCGGGGCGGCTGGACGCGCCGACCCTGCCAGCCCTCCCGGCGGCCCCGCTGCGCCTGATGGCGGTGGCGTCGGCGACACCGCAGGCCCTGCTGCTGGCGCCGCTGGCTCTCCCGGCACCGGCGAGCCCGCAAGCCCCCCAGCAGGCCCAGCCGGGCCTGCAAACTCTGCTGGGGCCCCTGTCGGCCCTGCAAGCCCGCCTGCTGGCCCATCAAGCTGCCCCGCCGAACCCGCCGCGGGCCCCGCCGGCCCCGCGGCATTTGCGGCAGGCAGCGGGTGTTGCTTGATCCTGTTCACGGCGGCCTGCTCGGCCGCGGCGACAGCTGAGTGAGGGCTCCGCGCGCCGGCGTGCTCGCCCAAAGGGGCGGGCGCCGCCGCAGCGGCCGCAGGCGTCGCGGGCGCGAGGGGGCTGGTCGCGCCGGTCATGTCGGGGGGCAGGACAATCTCCTGAGTCGAGGGATGGAGGCACGCGCACACAGGCAGTTGGTGCAAGGCTGAGGGCTCGCGGGGCAGTGGGGGCGTCATCAGCAGCAGGCCAACAGACCAATTGTCCTACGCGACAAAGGCAGGTGCGAGCGCCGCGAGGCGTGCGCATGCCGTGCCTGCTGTTTGGCCGGCTTGGCCAGCTTATTATAGTCTGCAATCATCTCCGAAGGTATAGCGATTGGAGCCATGGCCCTTGCACGCGGAACAGCCGCTCTGAAGATCGGGGCTGGGCGCGATAGCTGTGCAAGAGAGGTCGCCACGACGTTATTGACGTGTTATTTGCATTCTATATTTGAGCAAATCCTCGGCAGCAGCAGGGCTGTGGGCTTTGCTGGGGCAGAGCGCGCCTTCGGCTTCCGATCCCGGTGATGTCACAATGACCTGGCGGCCGCCACGGGACGATGACATGGCGCGCTGCTGATGCAGCATTGGCAGGGTGACCCTGGAGCTTCGCTCTGGTCAAGTATATTTACTGCGAGCCTCTTTCTCTTGTGCAAGGCGGGATGGTCGCCATTGGCTGTGATAAGCCTACGACGGCTGCCCGATGCGCGCAAGCCTAAGGGTTTGCGCAGGGCTCGCCACAGGGCGAGGCGCCAATCAATACATTTGTGAGGATTACGCACGCACGCCCGCATGCACGCTCGCGGCACAATAGAGGTCCAAGACGGGCCGCATTGAGGGGTGGGTGGGTGGTTGGAAATAGCCCTGGCAGAGGGGGGTCTGGACAGCCAGGGGGTGCGCCTTGCCTTGATGGCCCCCACACGTTCAACCCAAGCAATTTAACCGTCCGTGCCCGCGCCGCCGCTCGCCGCGCGTGCCGCGTCGTGATGCCAGCAGGAGAGCTTGGTGCTGAGCCGCTGCCAAAGTGCGGCTTGCTGCCGACAGCTGGGGCGTGATGCGGCTCCCATGCATGAAGCTGCCATTATGCAAGCCAGGCACGTGCGTGCATGCGTGTGTGCTGTGCGTGCCTGTTGTGGCGTGTATGTATACAATGCCTCAGGGCGCCGGCCCTGCAGGGTGTCGCGAAACCCCCGCTGGGTCTGCGGCGTGGAGACCGGGCGCACCGCCGTGGCGAGCTCGGCTGCGCTCGCGCGCTCGACGTGCTCTGCGGGTCGCAAGTTGCTGCAGCGCCTAGTGTGACGCGGCCTCGTGGTGGCGCGTATCTAATCAATCAGATCAGATCAGGTTGGATGAGATCGGTGCAGTGCCGGCCCAGCGGCGGGCCCCGATGAGCCTGCGGTGGCTGTCAATAAAGGTGCAAGGTGTGCATGGTGGCTGTTCAAAGGTGCAGTGTTGACTCGCCTCTTGACCCATCAGAAATAAGAACCGTGCCAGAAGTCAGCAGGGCGAGGCCGGCGAGAGGATGCTCCGCCTTGGACGCGTGCGTTGGAAGGGAGCAGGGGCGCGCGCCTGCCGGCAGCGGTTGAATCAGGGGGAAAGAAGGGGCGCATGCGACATGCGCGTGCGGCTTGCGAGCTCGGCCGCGCGGCGTGGCCCTCCGGATGGTGGTGCGGGGTTGGCAATTGCCGTGAGGCTTGCGGCAACCGAGGGCGCCTGCCCAAAGGGGGCCCCACGAAAGGCTCCCAAGTGCACGTGTCATTTCTTCAAGGTGCAAGGGCGGGGGGGGGGGGGCGCCGTGTGCAGCTGCACCCGCAGCCGGTGCGCGCTGCCCGACGGCTCGGGCTTGTGCAAGCCAATTAAGGGTGCGGGTGGCAACCGCACGGGTAGTGTCGTGGCCACATGGGCCGGCAGTCTTGCTGGGGGTGGGGATGCCCCTGGCGGCCCGCGACGCTGCTACATGCGGCGCCGACGCGGCCGGGAAAGCAGCGCCGCCGCCCCGCTGGTGATCGGGCGCACAGGCGCGCGTGCACGCTCGTGGGTTAGGGGGCGCACAGGCGCGATGGGCCGCCGCAGGCCGGGCATTGGCCCGGCCGCCGCCGGGCCGGGCCGCTGGCGGGCAAGGCCAGGCTCGTTCGATCAATGGATGGCTCCGGCGCAGGGCGGGGCCAAATATGCTGCGGCCGGCGCCCTGACGGGCGCGAATTGGCCAGCGCCTGCCGCAGACGGCAGCGGCATGCAGTGCGCGTGTGCTGCGCATTTGGTTGTGAAGTGGTGAAGACGGTGAGCGCGTCACATAGGGGGTGGCGTCCTTGCATTGGAGCCTCCGTCGCTAGCGGCGGCCCCGGCGGCCGCAGCGAGCAGCTGCTGTGCAGCCGCCGCCATCGCCGCCTGCTGCTCCAGCCCCGGCGGCGGCCGCGCCGCCGCGCCGGCCAACTGCTTCCCTGCCGGCCCTGCGAGTGCGAGCCCGCCGGCGGGCGGTAGCAGCCCCGCCATGCTTATGCCCTGTGCGCGCTGCTGCTGCTGCTGCTGCTGCTGCTGCTGCTGCTGTTGCATGGCGAGCTCCCGCAGCGGCCCCCGGGCCCCCGCCGGCGCCCCGCCCGCCGCGCCGGCGCCGCCAGCTGGCGCCGCCGCGGGCTTGCTGGTGCCCTGCGCCTCGTATTGCACGGTCAGCCCGTCGCCGTCCTTAGTCAGCCCCTCGATCACGGCGCCGTGCATCCAGTGGATAGCGGTGGCGGCCTCCTCGGGGGTCGAGAAGGACAGGAAGCCAAACTCGCGGTTGATCTTCTTGCCCTTGCCGCGCATCTTGGTGTTCCACATGATCTGGGGTTGTGGGTGCAATCGATCGCGTTACGACGAGTGATGTCATGTCCGCGGCTTGAGATACTCCCTGAAGCTCAGGAGCCCCAGCCGTGGCGCTCCAGGGCTGCGGTCCCCTCGGCCCCGCATTTGGGAGATCAAAACCCCCATTTAACCGCCCTCACCCTCGCCCCCAAAACAAGAACAGCAACCGGCTGCGCACCTGCACGTCGATGACGGTGCCAAACTGCTCGAAGCTCTGACTCAGCATGTCCTCGTCCACCCACCACGCCAGGTTGCCGATAAACACACGGCGGTAGTCCGGCGCCTCGTCCCACAGCTGCAGCGGCGCCGACACACAGCTGCCGCTCTGCCTCTCCGCTGGGCCGCCGGCGACGAGGCCCCGGTCAAACGATCGCCGCCCGTGCGCGTCGCGCACGCCCGCGCCGACGTCGCTCTGGCGGCCGGCGCGGCGGCCGCCGGGCCCGCCGACGCCGGGCAGGGGCGCGCTCAGGCTGCCGCGGCTTGGCCGCGCGCCTGCGGCGGCCGTGGACAGAAGGGCCTGATACTGCTGCTGCTGCTGCTGCTGCTGCTGCTGCTGTTGCTGCCCCACGCCTGCCACGGCCTGCAGCGCTTGCCACGCGCCTGCATGGTGCTCGTGCTGCGCCACAGCGGCCGCCGCCGCGGCCTGGGCGGCCTGCGCGGCCAGCAGCTGCAACTGCAGCTGCTGCTGCGCCGCGAGCGCGCCGGCCTGCTGCTGTTGCTGTTGGTGGTGGTGGAGGAGGGCGGCTTGATACGCATGCTGGAAGACCGAACCCTGTCCCAGTGCCGCGCCCTGCATGGCGTGCGCGTGAGCGTAGCCTGTCATCGCATCGGCCAGCGCGCTGCCCCCAGCCGCCTGCGCCTGAAGGGCCTGCATAGCAGCAGCGGTCGCGGCGGCCGCCTGCCAATCCGTGGCCGCGGACTCGCAGCCGCTGCCGGCGGCACCAATGCCAAGGGATTGCATCGCAGCCAGCAAGCCTTGCTGTCGGGCGTCCTCATACAAGGCGCTGGGGCCGGTGCCGAACGGGGCTCCAAACTGCTGCCATCCCGCCGCCTGCTGCAGTAGCTCCTGCGCTTGAAGCAGTGCCGGGCTGCCGCCGCCGCCGCCGGTCAAACCCTGGTCAAAGCGGCCGCCATGCGGCTCCACTTCGGCGTCGAGCGCGCTCGCTGCAAAGGATGGCGCCGAAATACGGCGCTGCTTCTGCGGCGGCAGCGGCGGGCCGCCGGGCGCGGCCGCAGCCGGGCTGAGCGGAGCGCCGTAGCCAAGCGGCCGAGGTGCGAGGCCCGAGGAGCCGAACGACAGGTGGGCGCCGAGGGCGCTCGTGCCGTGCACGCTGGGGATGCCGGCGCCATCGATGCTGTAGCCGCGAGGCCGCATGCCCGGCAGGCCCGACGAGAGCGGGCCCCGCTGGCCGGCAGCAGCAGCTGCTGCTGCTGCAGAGGTGGCTGCAGCTGCGGCCGAGGGGCCAAACGGTGGCATCCCTGGTGTGGTGAGGCCGGGGCTGTCACGAGTCAGGTCGCCGGGGGCAACCAAGAAGCCCGGGCCGGCCGCGGCGCCCCCATGCCCGCTGCTCACAAGGCCGGCGCCGGCCCCAAAGGCGCCACTGCGTACGCCGCCGCCGCCTGCGCCGCTGCCGCCTGCTGCCTCGCCGGGCCCAAAGGCTGCGTATGCTGGGGCGGCTGCCAGCAAGGTCAGCCTCTCTCCACGCACTGGGACGGTCCCCGCCAGCCCGCCAGGCGCGCTTATGCGCCCAGCCTCGAGGCTGCCTTGCACCATGTCCCACGGCCCACCGCCATCCAGCTCGTCGCCCGCGGCGCCGCCGCCGCTCCCGCTGCCCTCTCCGCTGCCGCCGCGCTCAGCGGCCCCACGGCCGAGCGGCACGAGCCCCAGGCCGGCGGGGCAGCTGTGGCGCGGCCGGGGACCGCTGCTTGCATCTTGAAAGTCCGCGCTGCTGTCAGCGCCACAGCCGCCACCTTCGCTGCTGGCGTGCTCCGTCCCCGTTGCTACCAGCAGGCCTTCTGCTGGCGCCGCGCCGCCGCCGCCGCCGCCGGCGACGATGAAAAACTGCTCGGGCACGCGGAAGGGCGGCGACGCAGCGATCGGCGGCGTCGCTCTGCGTCCCCAAACATTGGGGGGCGGCGTTCCTGAGCGAACTTCTGGTCCGGCCGCAGCAGCATCACCGCTGCTAGAGGGCGCCTGGGCGCCCTCCATAGCGACCCCAGCTCAGGCGGCGCGGCGCTCGACGGCGCCGCTGCGCGCCGGGGATGCCCCAACAAGGGCGACCCTGAACCTTTATCTGATTACCATGAACTGGCCACAAACCTCCTGCGGCCCCCGTGTGGCCGTGGCTGTCGTTCTAGTGGGTGCGAGCGGGAGGGCGGGCTGGTCAGTGCTTGAAGGGTTTTCGTATCGCGTATAACCTAGATGTGCACACGCATGCGCTCACCCGTGTCGTGGTTGAGCCACAACGCCGCGACGATCTGCCCCGCTGACACTACCCTGCAGGCTTCCCGAATCCTCCCCGAAGTGAACAAGGCATGGGCAAACTTGCGCGTGTAATTGGTGCCCGTTTGCGGTGGCATTCAGACGGTCAGCAACAGCGCTGACTACCAGTAAGCCGCGGCCTAGTCGCGCGCAGGTCACATGCACAGCCGGTGGAACGCTCCATTCAGCCACTCTGCACCATATGCATGTGCTAGGCAGGAGACGGTGAGCTGCGTCAACCAGCAGGACCCAAGCGTGACTCCAGCCCCAGACTTGTCAACCAACTCCTCCCAGCTGTGACTGCAGTTGCGCCAGCTGCTAGGCCGCCTGGAGGCAGTAGTGAAGCCGTCTACACCAGCAGCAAACGAACCTGCCGCCCTGGTTGTCATGATGTGTTACATTGTCCTGGCTTGGATGATGACATCAAATTGCCAATTCAGCAAGCTGCAAGGTCGCCCTGGAAGTGAGCACTGCCAGCTCGAGAAGCAGGCTGCAGAAGAGCGGGCGGCGCGGAGCCGGGATGGGGCGCGATGCGGCGCCAGACGCCGAGCGGCCAAGCAGGCCGAGTGAATTGATGAGGTGTTGGTTGTACAATCGTCGGGTGAAGGCGCGCGTGGCACGTGCAGCTGCCAGCACCAAAGCTGGTCCTGTGCGCACATTGGCAGTGGTGGGCGGCAAAAGAACAAACACCAGGGAAAGTACACCGTTTGACCTTCATCCCGCAATCACTGATAATGCGGTGCTTGAAACATGTCATGGGGGCGGGACCAAGGCGAGGGGCAAAGGCGAGCACAAAGGTGCACACCAGTGCCTGCGAAGCGATGGTGAGGAGTCCAGCGCAAGCCAAGCGCCTCCTAGCCGCGTGCGTGGCTGCGCATCGCTCGAACCCTTGCAAGCACGGGCGACGCATGGTGTGGGGAGGTTTTGAATGAGTCGAAGCACGCATCAATCGCCCGCTCGCAGGGCACACAGCGCGGGCAGGCCCCAAGCCCCCAAGGGCGCGCAATCCGCTCGCTCGCCCCCGCCGGCAGCCTCCGCCCCGGCCAGTTCGCCCGCTGCCGCCACTCCGGCGCCCGCGGCGTCAGCGCCGCCGCCCGCGGCAGCGACGAGCTGCTCGTTGAGCTGCCGCAGGGCGGCGATTTCGTTCTGCTGCTCCGTAACCACCCTGCGCAGCTCCTCAGCCTCTGCCCGCATGTTGATCAGGTTCTCCCGCTGCCTCTCGCGGAACCGCCGCTGCGCCGCGCGGTTTTTGTCCCGGACGGCGACAGCCTTTGACACCCCGCCGCCGGCGCCCGCCGGGGGGCCGGATTTGGACGATCGGGCTGCGGACAGGTGGGCGTGCTTGGGGTCGCCCTGGGTGTCGGCCATATGGGTTTCCATCTGATCCAGCTGGGTGTCCTGCGGCAGGCGAGCAGGCGCATGGGGGAGAGGGGGGGAGTCAAGAGTGAAAAAGTGATCTTGGATGACGCTGTCGGGCCGTGCACGCATCCCTGCCAGACTGGCCGCCGCCTTTGCCAGGAGCGTTGCAAACCCCGCATGCAGCGCCTGCACCAGCCCGCCCGCCTGCGCTCTCACCGCTCCGCTGCTGCACGCGCCGCCCTCGTGGGAGCTCATGCGCGACAGGTTGAAAGCTGATGATTGCTGCGGCGGCTGCTGCCGCTGGACCTGCTGCTGCCGCCCTAGCAATTCAAACCGTGCCGCCTCATGCCGCTCCTGTCTCTGCGGCGTGGCCGCGTGCAGCAGCCCTCCCTCATGCTGCAGCTGCAGCAGCAGAGCGCGCGCCGCCTCGAGCAGCACCACATCGTCAAGCTGTGGGTGCTGCTGCTGCGGCGGCGCCGCCGGCGCCACCAAGGCTGCAGGGGCGGCCGGCAGCGGCGGCGGAAGCTGTTGCTGCTGCAGTGGGGGCTGCTGTGGTGGCTGCCGCTGCAGGTGCATCACCACCCGGCCAAGCAGGTCGTCACCGCCGCACGCTGTTGAGAGCGCCCCCAACGTCTCAAACAGCTGCTGCCCGCGGTTGCTGGCCAGCGCAGCCGCAGCTGCGGGCAGCCGCGGCGGCGCGGGCGCTGGCGCTGGCGCAGCGGGCTGCGCATGACGCGCCTGGTCCAGCAGCAGTTGGAGGGCTGCTGCAGTGTCCGGCAGCTGCGGCTGGCGCGGCTGGGGCTGCGCAGTATGTTTGGACAGGAGCAGCGCGAAAAGGCCCTCAGGCGGCGCCAACGCCGGTGCTGTGACGCCAACCTTGCCACACAGCTGGGTGGCACTGTCCATCAGAGCGGACACCCGCGAGTCGGCAGGTGGCCCGGCCGCGAGCGCCTCGAGCTTGCTCATGGCGAACATGGCGAGTTCAGATTCACTGCCCACCAACATCTAGCACATGACCTGCATAGCCGCTGCAGTAGGGCGCAGGGTTTGGTAGTGGGCGCATCAACAGTGAGGTAATCAAGACAGGCTCCCATGTGCGCGTTCTGGAGGCAACCTTTGTCCTAGGCAGCCTAGGCATCGTAAAAGACTGACACCTGTCTGATAGAGGGTGCTCTCATAGTACCCCGCGCTCCGTTGTAACACACTCGGGCCAGCAGCTAGACACACCCGAGCCATGCATCACCTGAGGCCAGTGACTGATCTGTTATGAAGCTTGAGAAATAGAAACAGACCTTGATTAATGGTTTCTCGGGACTCGAGGATGTCGGTGGATGGCCAGGATGGCCACGGACACTGCCTCGTGCCTGAAGAACGGCCCTCTGTTTTGCGAATTAACTCAAAATTATAAACGGCAACCACATGGAGTGGGTGTGCTGGCTGAAGGCCGCGAACGCATCGCGGCGGCGCGAGATTACGAAGTCTTCCCAGCTCATCAGTAGCTAGAGCTTCGTCAAGAGTGACGCGCCCTGGCAGTTCCAAGGAACCTGTGCGGCGTAATGTTGAGGGCGTCCACAGACGACTAGTGTCAGGGAATGCCTCCAAGCCTCTGTATCAGAATACCTTCAGGACCACCGGTCACTGCAACCACACCGCCCTTCCTTCCGCATTCACAGAGCGTTCGCAATGTTGGCACGTTGTCGGTGTTCTCATGATCTCTTACCTACTGCATCAGTCTGTCCAAAGGGCGGTCCAAATTGCATGACGCACACTGCAATATACTGATAACTCCCACACATGAACGCCTCTTACCGCCTGGTGGCGGTTACTGTGCGGCGGTGCAGAGCGTGCTGACCGGCCTTGCTGGCACAAACGTGCCCAGGATATGCACAGAACGGTTGCGCAAGTTTCGTTACACAACACTGGAAAGCCGTTGCAAGAGGGCAGCAGGACTTTGCGATGTCACAACACCGGGCCCTCTGGCACGCTGTCTGGCGCCCGTGTGCCGTGGACGAATGGAATCGCGACGATGCACGGTGACGCGATGCTGATAAGCTTCAGCATGAAGCTGCGGGGTTGCACACTGCGCAGCTGGATGCGTGCTGCAGGCGGCCGCCCTGTGGGGGCCCAGCAGCCGCAGCGGAGCCAGACGACGCAGCACATGCCTGCTGGCTGCCGCCAGCCCGACTGGACAAGTCCGTCCTCTAATTTATTTCAACCGCGCAAACAGCTTGGGGGCCACCTGTGGCGTCGAGGTGGCGGCGTGGCAGTGGGTGGCACGCTCGCTGGCTCAGCGCTGGCAGCAGGGGGACGCTCACGTCATGACCACCTGAGATGACAGGCCTGGTGCATGCCCCAGGGCCCGGCTGGCTTCGGGCGTACCAACCACCCCGTGGCCCTGCTAAGGACAGGATGCAACGCGGCACAGGCTCCCACTGAGGTTGACACTCACGCATTTGTCGACGCACTTCCAGTAGTCAAAGGCCCAGCCGGTGCAGTGCGCCTCGCCCGTGACGTCGCTCTTGATGCGCTCAGCACACGCCTGCAACGGTCAGATTTTACACGTAGTGACGTCAGCGAATCAGGCCGCATGCCAGAAGGAGCTGCAGACGCACAGTTGCTCATAACATGGCAGCAGGACAACCTGATGCTCCAGATGAGGGTGGCCAGTCCAACCGCATGGCGTTCCACAAGGTGGCAGAGCCCAGCGTGGCTGCCATCTGTTGTGCCCTACGTCCCACCTGGTAGTTGTGCCACTCTTTCAGGCACTCCACTTTGCATGCGTCCTCGAGCTGCGGCTTGGGGTCCTCCTCCGTGTACTCCACCCTGCGTGGCGTGACATTTCGCGCCAGGGAGCGTCAGCTGCTGCGTTCCTGCGACCCTGCAGCAGGTGCGGGTCCACGCTGCAGCCAGGACGCCAGCAGCGTGGTCTCAGCACGAATCTCAATCACGTGCGTCAGTCTGATCCTGCAGAGCGTCAGGCTGCAGAAAATCGACGCCCGACGCGATCTCTGGTATGCTGCCGGCCGGCGTGCAGCTGCGCGTGGTTCAGGAAACATCAGCATCAATGACAATGGTGAAGCTCCAGAGCTGAGGCCCTAGAGGGTTTGCTCACATCGTGATCTACGGGGTGCAGCGTCGATGATACACAATCTGGGTCCTACACAGCGATGCTGGCAAGCACGCCTATGCGTCATGAGGCAGCTGCAACGAGGTCTTGCAACGTCGGCATGGCAAGCAGCATGCACTGCAAGTGTCTACTGTTCTGCTCGCTGGTGACGGCGCCCCTGATACAGGAAACGGGACGTCCGCGTGAGGTGCGTTCCGTGTGCTTTGAGGTTTAAAGCAGAATTCATTTAGTGACGCATTGTGCAAGAGTACACACGTATGCACACGTCGGCCCAGAGTGGGGTAGCTGCTGTAGTTGTGCGTTGGCAGGGGCAGCACAGGTGCTTTCTGCTGGAGCCTCCCTGGTGCAAGCACATGTGTGCACGCTCCATCCTTTGCAGGCTGTCCAGCCCACTGCCGACACCAGATTGTCAATCACACTTCTAAGGGCAAGTGAGAAAATGTATGCAGCAGGGGTTCTGGTCGCTTGATTCAGCGTCTCGCAGCTTTGGGGTTTGGGGGTGTGGACACTGTGCCGCCCCGCTTACCCCAGGGTGCTGCAGGTGCATGCAATGCGACCTCTTTGCATGTGAAGCGCGGGCCCAAGCATGCCGCCATGAGGCAGGCGAGCACAAACTACCCGACATTGCCCCGTCAAAACAGCCGTCGGCACTGTGCAACAAAGTCAAATGCGCACGGCCAGCTAGCAAGAGCCGTCGCGGAACTGCAGGCGATCGAGTTGCTGCGTGGCGCAACATGGCTACCAGTCGCAGCTGGTGCAAACGCAGCGCCGGCCTGCTGCCAGGGGACGTGCCATGGCAATGTGCCCCGGCGGTCGCGTGACGTGCAATCCACGTGATCTATAACTCAGTCAATCCCTGCCCGTTGCGCCCCGCCTGCCGATCACAAGCCTGACATGCCCCTTCAGCAGATGCGCCGGTGGCGAACACAGGGCCGGGGGGGCACATGCCCCCTTCGGCACTTCCCAGCCCCGCACAGCCGGCTGGCTTCGCTTGCCACGCGCGGCGAGCATGCCCGGCAGGAGAATCCATGTGCCCGCAGGCCGGCCTTGGGCCCTGACACGGGAGATCGCAGGCGTCGGCCCTCTCATTCAACCGCAAGCCGCGAGCCTCGTCAAGGGCCCGCGCACCTCGCCTCGCGCCGCGGCCGCGGTCACGCGGCCTTGCCCTTGCCCTTGGCGGCGGCGAGCTCCTCCTTGTGCTTGTCCGTGGCCAGGGAATAAAGGTAGGTGCCCGCGATGGCGATGCCGCTGCCCAGCCAGTTCATGAACGACACCGGGTTCCTGTCGGGAGCACGGGGCGCGTTTGTTTGGGGGGCTGGGGGTTAAAGCACGAGCAGGGCGGCACGGAGAAGGGGCGCCGTTGCCACCTGCGCGCGGAGGTGAGGACGCTTGCGCAACACTGCTGCTGAAGGCGCCCCCCCGTCTGTCCGCTGCAAAGAATCTGGTGCCTCAAGCATCGCGTGTGTTCGGGGCGCGGTGAGGGGTGAGGGGGGGGTGCACGCCCTGGCTTGCCCGCGCGGGGCGTGCCTGAAGAACATGACGCTGGAGACAACCACGGCCACGCGCTTCATGGTGTTGCCCACACTGAAGGTCACCGGGGAGATGCCCTGGTCCAGGAC